AGAGAGGGAGAGAGGGAGAGAGGGGGAGAGGGGGAGAGGGAGAGGGAGAGGGAGAGGAAAAGAGCAAAGTGAAAGGAGGAAAGTTTTAAGTAATCATTACTGTTGTTGATATTACTGTTGTTATGATGATGATTATTATTGTTATTGCTGTCGTTATTGGTTAAAGTATGCAAAGGGACTGCACCAACTTTGAGGAAATCTAAGATGGATATCATTCATTGATATCAAAATTAAAATCTACAGTAGTCATCAGATTTGAGCAAGTTGAAGATGGACTTGTAAAATGCCCTGGGGAAACGAGGTTCACCTTTCCTTTTGCTCACAGCAACTATTGTTTTTTTTAATCATCAGTGTTCATATCATATATTATCATCATGGGTATCATTATCATTATTGATGTTACTATTTCTATATTTGTTAAAACAAGTACTTGGCCTGTACTTTCCTGATATCTTCATTACAAGATATTATACTTTAATCCATATTCAAGGTAAAAACATGAATCAAAGATTCTAGTCTATAAGTTTTGTACAGTCATTTCCCAAGATTACTTGGGCCTTAGTAGGTTACTAAACATACAATTAGGAATATTTCTCTCTCTATCTGTCATCATAATGTGTGTACTTATTTGATATGCAAGAACTAGATTGACTATGCTGACAAATTCAACCGGTTTTATAATTTGACCTTTTAATCCTTAACAGGTTACTAATTAAGTGGAACCATGTGGTCAGGTGCGCCACAGTGGGCGTCGTGGGCCTTGCAGCCCCAGCACTACCAGAATATGAAGCCTGAGGAAGGTGAGTGATAATTAGCTGTGGAATGTCTCCCAAGATTAAGCACCACAGTGAAGTCTAAAGGTTGGCTATTGGGTCTGTTAGGTTCATGCTTGGGAGAGACTAGTTTCCTATGTGGTGCCATTTATGTTTAATTTATTTTCTGGTTTTAATACAAAGTTCTATGTGCAATAACATCATTTAATTAGAATTAATCAGTTTTGCTGGTACTCAAAATATTTTTTGTATTCTTTAACCTTCCTAATTTATATATTTTATACAGCATCCACGGTTGACTGGGCTGAACTTGCCAAGCAATGGATTCAGATGAAGGAGACCGCACCACAGGAGCAGAGCCAACCCCCCCAGGAGCAGAGCCACCCTTCCCAGCCGGTGGCAAGCTCAGGGCCTGCTCCCCAAGTGCATCCTCCCGAAGATGCAGCTGCAGCAGGGGGGGGAGAGATGGACATGGAGATTGAGGATGATAAGGGACCAGCAGCAAATGGCTCTGACCAGCAGAATGGTAAGGAAGCCTTTTTTAAATTATTTCTTTATATTTTTTGGCATTAGAAGTTTAAGTTGTTAAGAAAAAAAAGATTAGAATATTTCATATACATTGATTAAGCTTCATCAGTGATTTCAATATTTGATGTCATTTCTTAAAATAAGATTTGATTTGCAAAGTAGATTGTGAATGTGGTGAATTTTATTTCATTGAGAGCCACTAGCTTAACAAGATTTGATGAGTGAAATTAATTTGAAATGAGAAATATTGAAGATGGAAAAAAAGATTTCCCAAGTATTGAAATCCGTTGCTCATCAAGTGTAGGGTAAATTGACCCCTATCTTGCTGCAGGAGAATCGTGGGGGAGTTGGAATGGCGAAGGAAACTGGCCACCCACCCACACCTCTGGAATGGGCTGGGGTTGGGGCTGGCCTGTTGATACGTACTCCCAGAGCAGTGCTGCAAATCAAGACGTAAACGCCCAACAGCATTATAGCGGAAAAGATGTAAGCCAGGCAGGGTACACCATGTATGGTAATGAGTTTTCAGCAGCACTTGGCATGGAGATGCAGGTAGGTATCCGAGGCTCCTCATCGCTACCAGCACTGCGCTTTTGATGTTTGTTCCTCAACCTTGGTCTTGGTAACTGTAGGATATCAGAGTTATGATTTTGTTGGTACAGCGTGTTTCAGATGAACTGCAGATACTCTCAAGGGAGTCATATACACAGAGGGTCACAGATATTCATTAAACTTTTTTTTTTGCCAGTTTTGTGCCAGACATACATATAAAAATGGTGATATCTTTTTACATGAAAACTATGTACAGATATATTTGTTATATTTTGTTTCTCTAAAATGATTATTGTAGATTCATGTAGGAGTATTAGCAATAGTTGTTCTTGTGATTAGTAGTAACGATTATCTATTGACACTATTTTTAAAACTGATTTCATATATATGTGAATTTGCCAAATGTCATAGTAGCAAGTTCAATTTTTCTCTCTTGTTATTCTTTTATATTGATTGTGTGCTTTACCCAGATAGCCGTTCTTATTTGCACATCATTCTTTCACCCTCTATGTTTTAGATAATCTCTTTTATTGAGAAGAGATCTAAGGGTTCTGGTGTATGATGTTAAATGAGATGATGTTAGTATTATGAAGAGCATTTTAGGGAGCAGACTATATCTATAAATGGTCAGCTTAGACTAATGCATATTGATGGACAGGCTGATGTGTTTGAATTGTATACTGGAAATAAATATGTTTGTAAATACAAGGATAAAGGATTGTAGGTGAAGTCCTTTATCAAGGTGGATTGTCTGAACGTAAGTGGTTATTTGGTGTTTATTTGATAATCCAACATTTGGTGAATCCTGATACCATGCATAGAATGAAATATTCATGTATAGATGAATTCATATAATTCATTCATGTATAAATGAGTTCATTTAACTATTGCCTTTGCTTCAGAAATGTGCCCTAGGATTTTGTAAGACAGTAAATTATATGAAAATTATATAAGCACAGATTGTCTCTCTTGATACAACTGCACAGAGTTTGCACTGTGTCCAGGACTGAGAAAAGTGGCTGAAATTCCTCATTTTTTCTAAACAGGGTGAATATGGATGGCCCATTGTTGGAACGGAAGGAGTGCAGGGAGAGTATGGGAGGAATGACCGGAGGGATAGGAGAGGCCGAGAATTCCAGGTGGGACCTACATACCCTGACCGTATGGTGGGAAAGGAGGCTGACTTCCAGCTGGACGCGGCACAGAGGAAGAAGCTGCCAGCCTGGATTCGAGAAGGCTTGGAGAAGATGGAGCGGGAGAAGCAGAGGAAGGTATGGATAGTCTCAAGCTTGGGACCTTAATTTTCTTCTGTTCTATCAGGATTTTTTTTTTAGTTTTTGAAGGATACAGAATTAAGGGTTCAATTTAAATTATTGAAGTATATTAGGTTGCTATTTATTACTTAAAACTAAATAACTACGTTATTATTTTTAAGCAGATATTGTTAGTAGAATAAAAGGTTTCTATACAAAGATTTTAGTTTACACTAAAAGTACAAAGTAGTAGGTGGTTGATTCTGATTTGTAAGACTGAGGATCCCATTTTTTAAACTAAGGTGTTTTGTAACAACAAGGATTAGTGACTGAAGTAAAGAGTTGGTAAATCTTTCTCATTACAGTTAGAGAAAGAAAGACAAATGTCTGAGAAAGAGGAGATGTTGAAGAGAAAGAGGGAAGAGGAAGCCAGAGCTCGACGTATCCTAGAGGAGGATCTCGCAAATGACGGCAAACCTCGTGTGCCCAGGAAAAGTAAATTTGTAAGTAGGAATGGCTTTTTGCTGTCTGATAAAAAATATTGTATATTGTTAAATGATCCTAGAAAAAATGAAGGAAATACACATATACATGACTTTACTTTCCAGGACAGTGACAGTGATATGTCAGACCATAGTAGGTCAGCCAGTCCAGAGACAGCAACAACTGGTCTGGGAATGGCCAGGAAACGTCGGTCTCGCTTTGCTCCCCAGAACAGTCAAGGGGGGACAGAAGAAGATGGGGGCAGTAGAGAGGAAACTGAAGAAAAAGAGGAGGAAGTTAAGATAAGTAGGAGAATGCCTTCACCTGAACCTGCAAAGTCAGAAGAGGAGAAGATGCAAGAAATGGTTAGTAGGAGAATGTTAGTTATAGTTTTAGATTTATACATTTAGACCCTAAACTTTCTGGGGGGAATGTAGATTTAACCCCTTCATGGCAATACCGAAGGAGGCATTAGGGTGGCTGGAGTCAGCTATTTGAGGGAAAAATCAGAAACACAGGAAACAAAGTTACTCTGGTCTGAATGCATTAAACTTACTTTTGAGGGGCTATTTCTAAGGACACAACTTAGAGCAGGCTCAACTGCACATCACATGGAAGACATTATCCCATTGTTATGGGTATGATAAAATAGGCTGTGATCAGGTGTCTCCGGGTGTGAATAGGTTAAAGATGAATGTGCTGAATGTATTCCAATAACTCTTCTGTAGCCATAGTTATAACATCAGTGTGTTTCAGTCTTGCCTGTCATATGTTTGGAGGTTTGGTAAATGACTAGAAAATGAAGGTATTCTTGCATTTATAGCTATAGCAAAAATCTCATCATGTATTTTATATTTATATATGGTCATTTGTTTGTTATAGATACAATAAATATTGATGGTAGGCTTTATCCTTAATATTTTTTTATATTAATTGTTTAGACCTTATAATGCAAGTATCTTCTGAGTGAAATTCATTTACTTGTGTTATTACAGAAGAAAATATAGCTTTACTGTCTCTCTTCTTTTTGTTTATATAATGAACATGGGGAAAAAAAAAACTGATTTATTTATATTTTTTCATTGATCCTTTTCAGATGCTAAAATTGCGACGTTGGATGACAGAAATTTTACTGGACGTTACTACAGAAATGATGGAGGAGGTTGCATCAGAAGTGTTGAATCGTGCTCGTATGAAAGGTACACCTTTGACTGGTGTCAGTTGTGTGGGCAGGGTTGTTAGTACTGTAGCACTGCACTGGCAGAGCCTGACTCTCAGCAGTCGTTTTGGGATACCGTAAAGTCATTATTCTGCTGATTCAGTGAGGAATCTTAATGCTGAAAAAGAAATAATTAATGATGTGCTCGTTGGTTGTGACTTTGTGGTCTTTGGAAGGAGCATATGTACTTAATTTCTAAAGCGTAATTATTAGTCAGTTTAGATTTGCCAAAGATGTTATCACTTTTTTTTTTTTTTTTTTTTTTTTTTTAAGTAGATTAATGGAATGAGGGTTAGAGATATGTTATGAATAAGAGAGAGGTCTGCAATACCATAATGGCTTGTGAACTATGCCTTGAACTGCATAGGAAAAGTTGTGTATGGTCTCACCAGTTTCCAATTTCCAGACTTAAAACCTTGCCAGAACAAGTTTTAAGATCCCCATTTAAATGAGACCTTAAAAGTTGTGAAGTGAGCACCAACTTTAGTGCTGATAAGTGGTGTGGGTAGCCTCTTTCCTCTTGATATAAACAGTCACTTCCCTTATAGAGGTGAGAGCTTGTATCTGCTTAGTGTGGTAAGGCTGGTCTGCCGGGGGTCTCCCGCAACACCACTAAAGTTCCTGTGTTTGTCTAAAGCTCCGGCAGTTCAGGTGAAGAAGAGCTCAGCCCTTGCCTCTTTGTCGGGCGGAATTGGTAAGTTGAAACCAACCTTTTCTGTTGCCTAGCATAGTTGCTTTTTATTTCTTTATTTTTAAACTCTACAAAGTGCATTTTATGATAAATGAAAAGTGTATGCAATGGAGCTGGGTGCCATGGGCTTGTTCCCTTTCTCATTTTCCCCATCAGTAAGATGTCTTGATTTCTTATTTTGTGTGCTGTTCCACTTGAAGAATTTTATGCAAAGTCCCTTGAACATTTGAAATGGGATGGAATAAGCATATTGGTCTTGAAGGGCAAAAGAAGCAGTAGGATAGTCTTCAGGGGAGAGAAAGAAAAAGAAGTGCATTATAATTTTTTTTTTGCTTTTTTTTTTTTAACCTTTCAGTGATCTGAAATGTAGATAGTAGAGGGTTGATGGGACCCTAATTTAATTGGTGACAACAGGGTGGGAACCATGTGCTTTTAAGCTATTGGAAATTTCATAAACAAGGGAAGAAATAGTCACTAGCACCACATTATATGAGGATAACAGGATGATGAATTTCAGGGCTAGGCATCTACAGCGACAGTGAAAGCGATGGAGAAGGATCTGGTGGTGAGGGAGGCGGCATGCATGGTGAAACTGACAGTGATGAGGAACTGAGGCAGACTATCAGGCGCAAGCGACGGGACTTCCAAGCTACCGAGAGGATGATCCTTCAGAGACTCCATGCCGAAGAGATGGCAGAGAGAAACCGGAAACACAATGCCCAACATGAGTCCCACTCTGAGGACGACTCCAAGGTGGATGGGGGGGTGATGCAAGTCTCCGGGGAGGATAGGAGGAGAAGGGCAAGCAAAGACAGGGAGGGAGACAAGCATGGGGAGGAGACAAAACCAGAGGAGGACTCGGATGAAGAAAAGAATCCACCTGCAGCTGTGGGTAGGTTGATGGCTAATTTGGTGATTGTGCATATAAGTGCAAATGAGTCATTTAGTATGATATTTCTCTTTGAAAAATGATAAAAGGTTAATGTAAAGGTCTCTATCACTGAAGTTTTAGTCATGAAAATTGCATTGATAATCATAGTTTTTCTTTCTGTTTGCACAGGAAACATAAAACCAATGAAATTTGTACCGCCCCAAGACCCAGAGGTAGACTCAACTCAGCCTGACAATGGCACCCCCAGTGGCTCTGTTAAAGGAGATGATGACTCTAAAGACTCAGGTCAAAGCTTAGATTCAGAACAAGACTCAAAATCTTCCATTAGTGATCATTCCCGCTCAAGTGAGGGGAAAAAAAAGAAAAGGCGGAAGTCTAAGAAAGATAAAAAGAAGAGCTCTAAGAGGTCACATAGAAGTGAGGAAAGGGAAGGGAGGAAGAGAAGTCAGTCAGGGAGTCGGGATAGGGAAGAAAGAAGGGAGCATAAAAAGAAGAAGAAGCGGAAAGAGATCAGCCGTAGTAGAAGTAGGAGTTCTGAGGAATATAGTAGGTACAAAAGTAGGAGTAAGAGCAGGGAGAGCTACAGGAGGAGGAGGGATGGAAGTCACAGCCCAAGTGAGGAGAGAGGATCCTGGAGAAGATATAGCAGAGATAGATCTAGATCCAAGGGTAGGGATAGATCAAGGGGCAGAAATAGAGAGAGATCAAGAGATAGACATAGAAGTAGATCTAGAGGTAGGAAGGGCAGTCGATCTAGGGATAGGAAACGAGGTAGAGACAGAAGTAATGACAGCAGGTCAGGGTATCGCCACAGCAGTAGGTCTCGGGGGAGGGACCATCGTAGAAGTTTTAGAGATGGTAGTGAGGATAGTAGAGTGGGCAGAAGTAGCAGACGACGTTCTCACTCATGCAGCCGTAGCAGAAGTCGTAGCAGGGACTATGGACGCAAGAAGGACCGGTATATTTCTAGGTCACGCTCTACATCAAGAACACCCAAGAGATCCAAGAAGCGTCGCCGCTCACGGTCATGTAGTTCCTCTGTCTCACTCCCCAAGAAATGGAAGAGAAGATCCCGGTCGTCATCGTAGGCAAGTGAAGGTCCTAGCGTGAGTGCTGTGGTAAGACAACACCAAGGTAAGTTGTCACTGTTCTGTATAGTGTCTGTGGACTTCTGGTTTCAGGTCATCGAACGTTTCGCAGCTCCAGGGAAAGTGCTCTCTCAATTTCTTGCAGAGAAAGCTAACAGTTTGAGAGACAGAAAGCAGAAAGTTTCGGTTTGTTTGGTTTTCATCCAAGTCTGATAATGGTGGGGAATAAGATGGAGGAATGTCATATTGATAATTTTTTCACTGAGGCACTACATTTGTAATTCATTCCATATCAATTAGGTCTAGTCTGTCATGAATATCTCTGAAAAGGAGGCAACAGATATTCTTTATGTTTTATTTTCTTTTTCAGCACCTGCCTTGCACAGCCCATCGTTTGGAGTTGCAACCCCTGTCATTTTTGACACTAGTATATCCAAAGATAGGTCAATTTTGTGTATAGTGCTAATATTGCAATTAGCCATGTAATTTATTGTGATAATTCTGGTCTTGTACTGGAAGCCTGAGAGAGGCATTGTTGTCATTTCAATACAAGTCTCTTATTTCAGGAAAGAAAAGATGTATACTCATTGAACTTGATTAAAGACCTTATGAGAACAGTAATTTTTGTAGGTTCACATTAATGACATGTATTGTTCTCATATCATTGTCTAGTTCAAGTTCATGAGCTTTGTCTCCTTTTACTTTTCAGGTTCTGTTTTTTAAAAGCTTGCTCATGTAGTCTAGAATAAATGTCATAAATTACCTTTATGGTTTGAATGGCCTTTTGTTACGTACTATTACTTATAGCATTGTTAGGAGTACAGAGAGCAGAGAAGGAAATTGGCATTCATTGGTAATGAAATGAATGGGAATTTGGTCTCTCATTGTCTTGACACTTAAACTGTCACATTTCTTTTGCTATTGCTTTGCAAATATATTTTCCTTTTACAGAGATATTCCTATTGTTGTAATTGGGATGAATTCATATTTTTTTCTGTTCATTTGAAGAATGTTTTAATAGTAAGGTTTTGATCATGTAGGGAAGATCAACTATTTTGAAACCATTTAGTTTATTGATAATTATTCAAAGGAATAATAACTTAGTTTATAATCTTTATTTTTAAAGAATAGTAAGTAGGTTGCCTGATCATACATGGTGGACTGTTTGTCAAATGTGCAGTTTAGGTGTTGAAGATTATTATTTTTATTTTTTAAATGAAAAGCATGTTTTATTGATATATACCATATTACACCACTAAATGTTGTGAATTCAAAAATAGAGACAGCAGCTTGAATAATGCTCAATAGTTGGTGTAGGATGTGCATCAGCTTTGTTGTATCAGCATGCCTATATGCTGATACTTGTGCTAGTACACACACTTGGTAGGATTAAGGAGTGAATGAAAGTGAGCTATCTCAGGCAAGTCTTTATTCAAATTAAAATACAGTGATTCTAATAATAAGCTGAGTGAAAGAGAGGAAAAAAATTAAAGCAGCAGAACAGTTTTTCAGTTTCACCTACCATCATACCTCTTATAATGAAACCTAATTTAAAGATTTTACTGAAAAATTCCCAATATTTTTTTCTTTTAGAAGATAATGTATGCTTTTAAAGTAAACAAAATATATATTATGATGTTTTCCTTAAGGTTTCTAAAAGCAGTAAAACCTAATATTCCAAGAAGTGGTGGTGCTTGTTTCACAATTTTGAATGGGAAGTTTTTAGCGTTGCTTATATCATTTTGTCTACTTGGTCTATGAAGCTAGCTTTGTGAAGCTGTGTACTTGTTTCTACAAAGATGTCAATGAAAGTAGTTAAGAAATTTGAGCAGTTGTGTGCAAGCGAGATTTCAAATAAAGATTCAACTGGCGCTGCCCATTACAAGAGGTGTGGTGGTAAAAGTATTATGGTGAAAGATAGACATACACTTTCACTTATCCCTGTCTATGAAATGTGTTTTATGTTTTTATTTTTTTATTTTATGTAAGTAATATTAAGTATTACCACATTTTAATACAATTTTACATACATATGCATATCCACTTTTAGTGTAAAAAAAAATACTAATCATTTTGTAATATATGTTTGTAAATATAGGTCAGTTGACAATATATAGTCTTTCCAATCTAAACACCAGGAAGATTTCAATCTTGGGTTTGATTCATATAGCAGTAATAAAAAGTTGAGTGCAATTCCTGAAAATGATGTATGAATATGTTTTGGAGATTTTGTTTAAAATGTACATTTAGGTATTGATAGTCCAAAAATAAAGCTGGTTCTTGATAACATTAAGAAAAAAAAAGTAAATCGTATTATAGGGTATATATTTATACCTATGTATATGACACTGTTTTGGTTACTGGTGGATTGGAAAGAGACTAGATTTACTTCAAAATTCTATGGAAACTTTCAGCAAGGTTAAACAATAATAATTTTATTTGGTCACTGAACAGGCACTGATATAAGTATTTCCCTTACAGATTAGTCAGTGATAAGCAAATTGATCATTTTATGCAATCTGGAAAGATTTAAATGTGCAATATTATTATTCAGTGAGTAAATGCAAGGGTAGGGGAAGACTTCTATTGGTATTTTTTTTCCTTTTGCCAGATATATAGTAAAAATATATCTACTGTACCATATAATTTTGCCACTTTTACTATATAAACACCAATTTGGCAAACAGAAATAATTTATTTATACCACTGGCATCTATCACAGCTATATACGCTTGTATTTTGTGGTTTTATTTTTTATTGACTTTTTTGAGCTAATGCGAACTGTGAAATATGTGAAACAGAAATTATGTAAAAAGGAAGAAATAAATATGATAATTGTATATTTGCTTTCATTAATATCAAGGTTTTCATTGCCAAAAACATCACTGAACTTTTCTTTACCAACAGATCAATAAATAGTCAGAAAAGCATATATATAAAGGAATCCTGAGAAAATATGACTTAAAATGCTGATTAATTTTGCACTTTGGTTATGCTGTAGTTTGGTTATAAAATAAGTTGAGCTATGTATTTGCTTGTGAGGAAATTATCATAAGTTTAAACTGCCTGACCTTAATTTTTGTTTTTTTGTTTGGTCGCTTTACATTAATGCCTAGTTATCATAATAAAAATGTGCAACTAAATAGTGCTGCAAAATGTCCAAAGGCCATATTTGCAGCATTTTCAGTGAGTCAAAAGCTCCATTCATTCAAGACCATTTCATAGACTAGGTATTTTGC